CACAACTTAGTGACTAAACAACAAAATGGTAATTCTATTTCTTCTGGGATCATTATACTGTTTTCCACAACAGCTGCACTACTTTACATTCACACAGCAGCGCATAAGTGTTCCAAATTTTCCACTTCTTTGTTATTTTCATATAACCTATGTTTAATTTCCTCTCTATTTGATATCCTGCTGGGCCCATGATGCTGCATGAGTAAATAAATAACTGTTATTAACTCTGTAGAAAAGGGAAATGAGATTAAATGAATCAACTTGTATTCAGCAAGCCCCACCTCGTACATCTTGTTCTTATTGTAGCCACATGTGGCTCTTAAAATTTAAATTAATTAAAAATAAGCAGATTTTAAAATTCAGTTCATCAGTCTCATTACTGACATGTCACCATAATAACTAGCGCTTATTAGTATCTAATGTATCAGTCAGTACAGAATAGAACATTTCCATTATTGCAGACAACTCTTTAGCTACTGTGTTGGACAGCACTTTCTAGATCCTGGTAGCCACTTATTCTTTGTCTCACTAATTATATTTGGATAAGTTTTCCCAGAGCTGGATGACTAAAGTTTAAGACAAAAATCCTTCTTTAATAAGAGAGGAAGTTGTTGTTGTTCAGTCGCCCAGTCTTGTCCAACTCTTTGCAACCCAATGGACTGCAGCACTCCAGGCTTTCCTGTCCCTCACCAGCTCCCGAAATGTGCCCAAGTTCTTGTCCATTCCATCGGTGATGTCTTCCAGCCATCTCATCCTCTGACGCCCTCTTCTCCTCTGCCCTCAATCTTTCCCAGCATCAGGGACTTTTCCAATGAGTCAAATTTTCACATCAAATGAACAAAATACTGGAGCTTCAGCTTCAGCATCAGTCCTTCCAAGGAATATTCAGGATTGATTTCCCTCAAGACTGACTGGTTTGATCTCCTTCAGAGGGGGGCTGTACACTGTCTAAAATGTCTGTGACTCTTCAGTACATAAATGGCTGCTCTGTGAATTCCCCCAAATTTCATGTTTAGATATTAATTTGGACTTTTGGTGACCATATGGTTCTGTTATTCTGGATGATTATCTTTATGAACACAGACTTATAAATTATTCAAGCTTTTTAATTTTTTTTTTTTTTTTTTGGCCACACCATGCAGCATGCAGGATCTTAGTTCGCTGACCAGGGATAGAACCAGTGTACCCTGCATTGGAAGACAGACTCTTAACCACTGGACCACCAGGAAAATCCCTATAAACTATTTAAATCTTTCTTTACATCCTTTAAACTACCTACCTACTAAACCATAAATTTTGAAAACATTCTCAGATTCACAGTGGAGATTGTGTCCATTCTACTTATTACTATTTACCCAAAGTCTAGCAAAATACCTCAGACATTGGAGACTCTCAATAAATATCTGTTACATAATGAATGAATAAATGACCAACATAAGCCCCAAGTGGAGCTCAGGTCACGGAGAGAACATTTTAGAGGGTGACACTGGGTATAACGAGATTTTGGAATTTGTCTCTAGCACTGACGTAGCTTTAAAAGACTTTTTTTTTTTAAAAAAACAGAACATGGAATTTAAGCTTTGTTCTTTTATCCTACTGTTGAAAAAGTTGCTTTAAAATTCCTACAAGGATTCTATCTATTGCATGTTTATAAAGCTTTAACTCTATTTTATGAATGGTGCTAGTTGCTCAGTCATGTCTGACTCTTTGCGACTCCACGGACTGTAGTCCCGCCAGACCACTCTTTCCAGAATTCTCCAGGCAAGAATACTGGAGTGGGTAGCCAAGTCCTTCTCCAGGGGATCTTCCTGACCCAGGGATCAAACCCGGGTCTCCTGCATTACAGGCAGATTCTTCACCATCTGAGCCACCAGGGAAACATTTGCCACCAATGAATAAAACAAGAGAAAAATGAATTCTAGATTTTATAATGTCAGCATTATAATCTTCTGTTTGCTCCTTAACATCCGCTTTCTATCTCCCTCTGTTCTGCTCTCAACCCTGGGAAGTTGATGACTCCCAGAAGGGACTATTCTTTTTTTTTTTTTTAATCGGAGGCTAAAATGGACTATTCTAACAGGCTCCTGTGCCCTTTGGCTTTCCTTGGGTTTGGCCAGAAGGGAAGTCCTATAGGAGAGCAGAAGCAGGGGTGAGGTCAGGGAATTTATTCTAGACAGAAGGGCTATCCGTGTCTCTGTCCCTCAGCATAAGCTCACGCTTCCTCTAAGGTGGTCTGTTCTCCGTGATTCCCTTTCCCTCGGTTCTGGGTACCTCTCTCTACTCATGGTTCTCAGGCCTGGGATATGACAACCCAGAGGTCCCTTTCAGTTCCCTCTCTGCTCAGCCTTTACAATAGTACTTTTATTTACACACCCTCCTTGAATTATTTTAATTTGAATGCGCCATCTCTTTCACATTGAGACCCTAACTGCCACAGCATCCTTAAATGGTAGCTAGAGCATAGAGATTGTGGTTTAGTCGCTAAGCAGCGTCCAGCCATTTTTGACCCCATGGGTTGTAGCCTGCCAGGCTCCTCTATTCATGGGATTTCCCAAACAACAACACTGGAGTGGATTGCCATTCGCTTCTCTAAGAGATCTTCCTGACTCAGTGATCGAATCAAGGTCTCTTGAACTGGCAGGCAGGTTCTTTACCACTGAGCCACCGGAGCATAGAACCTGAATCTGCTCTGAAATGTTTATACCCACAGTCTATGAAAAATGTTCCCTGATGATATTTTCATCTTCTTATTTAAATCCACTGGTCAGCTTTTCAAAGAAACAATGTTGTATGTCATATGATACAAATTTTTCCCTAGTATACTCAGACTAGAAAAATATTCTCAGATTCACATCCAAATCTTTTTGCATATAGATTATCTATATAAAATGCAATTTATAGAAATACAGAAATATGATTTTATAAAGTAAACAGGTAACTTTTTAAGATTTCATTTATCCAGTATCTAATAAGCTTTCTTTTTAGCATATTTATTTATTTTTCCCAAATAAGCTTCTTAAAGGTATATGAGGAAATTGGTAGATCAGTACTTCAAATAAGCCATTGTTATTCAACATACACAGCATATAGGAGAACAGAGTTTCTAACCCTTTCCTATACACTGAATGTTTCTGTCCCTCTAAAATTCGTATGTTAAAACCCAATCCCTATGTGATGGTATTGGGAGGTGGAACCTTGGGAGGTGATGAAGTCATGAATATAGAAACCTTAAGAACATGATTAGTACCCTTAGAAAAGAAGCCCCAGGAAACTCTTGCCCCTTCTGCTGTGAGAGGATATAGCAACAAGATAGCCATCTATGAACCAGGAAGCAAGCTCTCATCAAACACCAAATTCATAGCTACCATGATGTAAGACTTCACAGCCTCCAAAACTGTGAGAAATAAATTTCTGTCGTTTATAAGACACTCAGTCTGAGTATTTTTGTATACCGTTTAGTCCAAACAGATTAAGACATCTTGGAAACTCAAGATTTAAACTTACAAATATTAGCAAACAACACATCATTAAAAAAAAAAATAAACCCCATAATACTAATATATCAAAGTCTCTCAGTCATGTCCAACTGTTTGTGACCCCATGGACTATATGTAGCCCTCCAGGCTCTTCTGTCCATGGAATTCTCCAGGCAAGAATAATGGAGTGGGTAACCATTCCCTTCTCCAGGGGATCTCCCTGACCCAGGGATTAACCTGGGTCTCCCACATTGAGGGCAGGTTCATATCAAAGATAACCAACACTTATCATTTGCATCACAAGGTATGAGGTATGCACAACTCAACCTCATCTGACCAAGGAGGATAAGAGCCTTCAAATTTTCTGTCCACTGTCTCGGGACCAGCAAGCAAAGGAACCTGGATCCAAATCTTAGCGTCCAACATAAAAGGTTATGTTCTTAACTACAAAAAAGTGTCCAAGAGCAACTCAAAGACCACAGATAAAACAAAAAAGAAAAATTTTCCAAAGCAAATGATTTATTTCATCCTGTTATATCAAACTCAAGGTAAGCTTAGAAAAACTACTAAAAAAAGAAAAGAAACAAGAATGCACATATACACACTACTATATATAAAATAGATAACTAATAAGGAGAACTCTTTTCAATACTCTGTAATGGCCCATATGGGAAAAGAATCTAAAAAAGAGTGGCCGTGTGTATACCTGATTCACTCTGCTGTGTGCCTGAAACCAGCACAATGTTGTATTAATAAATCAACTCTACTCCAATAAAAAATTTAAAAATTAAAAAATAAATACAAATATACAAAAATAAAAAATGCAACAGACATCTCTCTTAGAAAAGCAATTTCTTGTTTAATAAACTTATTTTTCTGTGCATGGTACACAAGAAGGGGTAGAAAGTGAGGGTGCAAATTGTACTACTGTGGAATTAGTTAAATGTTATCTTTGCTTATAATTCCTGAAATGACACCATTGTATTTTCGATTTAACAGAAATTGCAAATAAGTGAAAACTTTCCTCTGATATACTGGCATACTTGTTGTAAGAGGCCTGAATTTTTAGCATGTATTGGCTACTCTATGCATACAAACAGAACATTCTCTGTGAAAGAGAATGGGCTAAAAAAATCTGGACTAGAGATAGCATAATTGATCTGTTTAATACCTCAATTTTTCTGAAACTGTGATTTTGCATAACAACTTGCAAAAGTATTTTAAGATGAGACTGTTGATCAGTGCTCACTTCTGGTAAATCCCTTTTGCACCATAGCCCTGTCCTGAGGAACTGATAAAAATGAAACAAACAAACAAAAAAAACACCAACAGAGGTAACAAATAAGCCATGCCTTTTACAGGATGTTTAGCCAATGCTGCTTTCGAATTTGAATAATTAAATTAGTTCTCAAAGGTGTAGTGTTCACAAATAGACTAAACATTTTTACAACTATAGTTTGTTCATTTAGAAGAATTTGTGCCATCCATTTAGAAACTGTAAGCTTCTACAGCAAAAAGCCTTACTTTGTGGTTGAGACGTGGTCAACCACACGTCATGTGGTGTTTTTTTTTCCTCGTCATCCATTTCATCCCCTTGCGGCAGCTCCATATCTTTATTTGTCTTATTTTTCCTTTTAACACACACTTCAATTGGATAGATTCCTTCATCAAAGGTGGCCTATAATTTCTATGAGTTCATAGACCACAACCAGCATTCCTTCGTGATGCTAAAGAAAACGTAAAAGTATAATATTGGCACCACAAAAAACCAAGTGTGTTTTAAATGATGAGTATTTTAAAGATGAGCTTGGTACAAAAGAGTGACGCAATGAAAGTAGACTGAAGTCCGAGCAGAGAAGTCACAGATGCAGTGGACAGTCTTTCCTTGAGGATAGCTGCTCTTGGAATGATGAGCTTGTTGAGGAGACTGTGTAGAAGCTGACAGATGTTCCTCTCAGGTCCCCAGCTCCTCACCTTCCTGTGTGTCCCAGGGTGAGCAGGAATCCTTGCTAGCAGCTGACAGGGTCTTGCGTCACTAGTTCTGGATGTTGAAAGCAGGTCACCCCTCCTGATTTCTTAAAACCCTCTTTTCTATAGGCTGATGAAGGCAAAGGTCAATTATGAAACAGGAACTTTTGACACAACTCAACATCCCTAGTCACAAAGAAACATTTACAAAACAAATGCCCCCCTGCAAATTGAAATTCCTAATTGATTACAATGTGGATAAGAGTGCTGGACATAATCTAGTCACTCCTTATTTCTTTTACGGTACTAGTACATCATCTTTCCAGCTTAAGGAAGGAGTACACTGCTCTTCAAGGAAAAAGAATAAATGGCACCTAATATTGACAAATTACTTGAATATAATATAAATACAGTGTAGCTTATATAAATATGGCATAAATTCTGTATGACTATAAGTTCTTTAAAAAACTATAAAATTTAAGCAAATCCACACACTACAAGTATAAAGTTAATAATATTAAAATAAACAGCATTGATTTAATGTTTTTTTGATGAGGCAAAACCGAATGTCTATTCCAAAAGTGCATTGGGGTAATTTGTATTTCATTTATCTATATGAGTCTCTTTATTTTGAAGATAACACTCTTTTGAATGATTCTCCTTATTATTGCTATGATTTTCCCTTTTAAACTATACATTCATCTTGAATCATCAAGCCACAATTTTTTTCAGTTTTATTGAGATACAATTGACAAATAGAAATGTAAGAAATTTAAAAGTATATGTGGTGGTGATTTGATATATGTTTGCATTGTGAAAAGATTCCCACCACCTAATTAATTAACATATCCATCACCTCACATACTGATCTTTCTTTTTTCTTTGGTAAGAATATTAAAGTTCTATTCTCTTAGCAAATTTCAATATAATACAGTTGACCCTTGGACAATATGGTAGTTAGGGGCATCAGCCTCCCACACAGTAGAAAATCAAAATATAATTTTAATAGGCCACTGTATCCGCAGTTTCACAGCCAGTCAACCAACCACAGATTGTGTAATATGCATTTAATTAAAAAATATATATATGTGTATGTGGACCCATGCAGTTCAAACCTGTGTTGTACAAGGATCAACTGTACAGTGCTATCAACTATAGTCACCATGTTTTACACCATGTTTACACAGGTTTTAGTGTAAACTTACTCATCTCATAGCTGAAAGTTTATAGCCTTTTACCAACCTTTGCTTATTTCCCCCAACCTGCAGGTTCTGACAACCACTTTTCTAATCTCTGTTTCTATGAGATTCCACATGTAAGTGACACAGTGCAGTAATTGCCTTTCCGTGTCCAGCTTGCTTCACTTAATATAATGCCCTCAATGTCCATCCATGTTGTTGCAAATGGCAGGATTTCCTTCTTTCTCATGGCTAAATCATACTACAAATTTATTTTATATATTATTTATATTTATTATGTTTGCTCAGTCATGTCTTACTCTTTGAAGCCCATTGGATTGTAGCCCTCCAGGCTCCTCTGTCCATGGGATTTTTCAGGCAAGGATACTGGAGAGGGTTGCCATTTCAGAGAAACATGTACTTACGTATAACATATCTCCCTTATCCATTTATCTGTTGATGGGCACTTAGATTGTTTTCATAATCTGGATATTGTGAATAGTACTGCAATAAACATGGGGGTGCAGATACATCTTCAGTATCTTTTTTTTTTAATATCTTCAATATCTTGTTTTTTCATTTCTTTTGGATTTATATCCAGAATTGGGATTGTTGGATCATATAATTGTTCTATTTAATTTGGAGGGGAACTTCCATATTCTCTTCCATAGTGGCTGCACCAATTTATATTCCCACCAACAGGGTACGAGGGCTCTCTTTTCTCCACATTCTCACCAACAGTTTTTATCTCTTGTCCCTCTGATGCTAGCCATTCTAACAGATATGAGCGGATAACTCATTACTCATTAATCCTTGATGATTAGTCATGTTGAGCACTTTTTCTCGTACTGATGGCCATTTGCAAGTCCTTTTTTGAAGAAATGTCTACACAGTTCCTCTGTCCATTTTAAAATCCAATTCCATGGTTTTTTGCTTTTGACTTGTATGAGACCTTCACATATTTTGTACATTAACTCCTTATCAAAATATATGATTTGCAAACATATTCTCTCATTCAGTAAACTAACTTTGCATCTTGTTGATGTTTTCCTTTGCTATACAGAAGTTTTTTATTGATGTAGTCCGTTTCTTTATTTTGGCCTTTGTTGAGTTTGCTATGGCATCCAATCCAAAAAAATCACTGCCAATGTCAAGGAGTTTACCCCTGTATTTTCTTCTAGGAGTTTTATAGTTTCAGGACTTATGCTCAAGTATTTAATCCACTTTGAGTTGGTTGTGGGGTAGGGTGTAGGAGAGAAGTCCAGTTTCTTTCTTTTGCATTTGGCTGTCCTGTTTTCCTAACACCATTTATTGAAAATATTGTCCTTTTCCCATTATATTCTTCTGCCTTTGTGGAAAATCAATTGACCATATATGCATGAGTTTATTTCTGGGCTCTTTATTCTAACCCATTGATCTATATGCCTGTATTTACATCAACTACCATTCTTTGTCTATGAAAATGATATTGGAACTTTGATAGAGATTGCATTAAATACTTATCAAAATGCTTTGGCTAGTATGGATATTTTAACAACATTAATCCTACTAGTTCATGAGCACAGATTACCTCTTCATTTATTTTTGTCTTCTTCAATTTCTTTCACTTCTATCTTATAGTTTTCAGTGTATAGATCTTTCACCTATTTGGTTAAATTTATTTATAGGTATATTATTCTTTTTGATGCAATTGTAAATAGGATTGTTTTCTTAACTTCTGTTTCTGGTAGTCCATTGTTAGCGTGTAGAAACACAACTGATTTCTGTGTATTAAATTTGGATCCTCCACCTTTACTGAATTCATTTGTTAGCTCTAACAGTATTTTTGGTGGTGTATTTATAGTTTTCTATTTACAAAATACCACCCACAAATAGAGAAAATTTTACTTCTTTCTTTCCAAGTTGGATACTTTTTACTTCTTTTCCTTGCCTAATTTCTCTGGCTAGGACTTGCGGTAGTATATCAAAAGTGACAAGGGTATCTTCATCTTGTTCCTGATCTTAGAGGAAGAGTTTTCAACTTTTCACCACTGAGCATGATGTCCACTGTGGGCTTGTTTTTTGTGGCTTTTATTATGTTGAGGTATATTTTCTCTATACTCAGTTTGCTGAAAGATTTTATCATGAATGGATGTTAAAGTGAAAAGTAAAAGTCATTCAGTCATGCCCAACTCTTTGTGACCCCTTGAACTATACAGTCCATGGAATTCTCCAAGCCAGAATACTGGAGTGGGTATCCGTTCCCTTCTCCAGTGAATCTGTTGAATTTTGTCAAATGCTTTTTCTGCATCTATTGAGATAATTATATGATTTTTATCCTCCATTTTGTTATTGTGATGTATTGCATTGACTGATTTGCAGATGTTGAACCATCCTTGCATCGCTGGAATAAATCCCACTTAACTGTGTATGATCCTTTTACTGTACTATTGAATTTGGTTTGCTAGTATTTTGTTGAGGATTTCTGCATTTATGCTTATCAGAAAAATTGGCCTGTAATTTCCTTTTGTTGTGGTGTCCTTGCCTGGATTTCATATTAGGGTAATGCTGGCCTCATAAGATAAGTTCAGAAGTGTTCCCTCCTCTTCCACTTTTTGGAAGGGTTAGACAAGGATTGGCATTAATTCTTCTTTAGTAAATGTTTGGTAGAACTCATCAGTTAAGCCATCTGATCCTGGACTATTGTTTGTTGGGAGGTTTTTAAATTACTAATTCAGTCTTTTTTTTTTTTTTTCCCTAATTCAGTCTTTTTATCAGTAATGGAACTGTTCAGATTTTCCTGAATGGGAAGGAAATCTAAAAGAGCAGATATGTGTATACATATAACTGATTCACTTTGTTATACAGCAGAAGCTAACACATTTTAAAGCAACTATATTCCAATAAAAAAATTAGTAAAAGTGTTATATTGTGAATGGAGGGTGAGTAGTGAGTAAGAGCAGATTTTTCTGAAAGTATGAGCTGAGAAACTCTGCCCTGTATTCTCCAAAGCTTGTTGAAGAAGATTAAATAGACAGATTTTTAGCAAGCCTTCTCTTTTAAATTGATTTAGGAGCTGATTATATATCTGTCAGGTGCATTTGATAACTTCTGGTCCTTCAGCCAATTTATTATCTCTTGACCTGGAGTGGCTTTTAATTTTTATTTATTTTTAATTTTTTAAAAATGTGACTTCCCTGGCAGTCCAGTAGTTAAGACTTTGCCTTCCAATGCCGGGGGTGCGGGTTAAATCCCTGGTCAGGGAACTAAGATCCCCATGCCTTATGGCCAAAAACCCCATAAAACAGAAGCAATATTGTAACAAATTTAATAAAGAATTTTAAATGTTTTACACCAAAAAAAAAATCTTAAAAAAAAATATTGGGGGAGCAGCACACATGCATGCAGTGTGTGGGATCCTAGTTCCCCAGCCAGGGATGGAACCCACACCCCTGCATTAGGAGTGTGGGGTCTTAACCACAGG